ACATAGTGATCCACAGTACATAGTGATCATAGTGATCCACAGTACATAGTGATCAACAGTACATAGTGAACCACAGTACATAGTGATCATAGTGAACCACAGTACATAGTGATCATAGTGATTCACAGTACATGTTGATCCACAGTACATAGTGAACCACAGTACATAGTGTCCACAGTACATAGTGAACCACAGTACATAGTGATCATATTGCCCACAGTACATAGTGATCCACAGTACATAGTGATCCACAGTACATAGTGATCATAGTGATCCACAGTACATAGTGAACCACAGTACATAGTGTCCACAGTACATAGTGAACCACAGTACATAGTGATCCACAGTACATAGTGATCATAGTGATCCACAGTACATAGTGATCAACAGTACATAGTGATCCACAGTACATAGTGATCATAGTGAACCACAGTACATAGTGATCCACAGTACATACATAGTGTTCACCAGTACATAGTGATCATAGTGATTCACAGTACATGTTGATCCACAGTACATAGTGAACCACAGTACATAGTGATCCACAGTANCCATTATTGAGAGTTTTAAAGTCTTTGTAATAATTTGTAACATGTATTGAAGAATTAGATAAAGTGCAAAATATACTGATCAGATATTAAATATGTATATCAAGTACCTACCTAGTGATCCATAGTATATAGTGATCATAGTGATCCACAATACAAAGTGATCCACAGTACATAGTGATCCACAGTACATAGTGATCATAGTGATCCACAGTACATACATAGTGTTCAACAGTACATAGTGAACCACAGTACATAGTGATCATAGTGATTCACAGGACATAGTGATCCACAGTACATAGTGATCCACAGTACATACTGAACCACAGTACATAGTGATCCACAGTACATAGTGATCATTGTGATCCACAGAACATAGTGAACCACAGTACATACTGAACCACAGTACATAGTGAACCACAGTACATAGTGATCATAGTGATTCACAGTACATAGTGATCATAGTGATCCACAGTACATAGTGATCAACAGTACATACTGAACCACAGTACATAGTGATCCACAGTACATAGTGATCATTGTGATCCACAGAACATAGTGAACCACAGTACATACTGAACCACAGTACATAGTGAACCACAGTACATAGTGATCCACAGTACATAGTGATCATAGTGATCCACAGTACATAGTGATCCACAGTACATAGTGAACCACAGTACATAGTGATCATAGTGATTCACAGTACATAGTGATCATAGTGATCCACAGTACATAGTGATCAACAGTACATACTGAACCACAGTACATAGTGATCCACAGTACATAGTGATCATTGTGATCCACAGAACATAGTGAACCACAGTACATACTGAACCACAGTACATAGTGAACCACAGTACATAGTGATCCACAGTACATAGTGATCATAGTGATCCACAGTACATAGTGATCCACAGTACATAGTGAACCACAGTACATAGTGATCATACTGATCCACAGTACATAGTGATCCACAGTACATAGTGATTCACAGTACATAGTGATCCACAGTACATAGTGATCATTGTGATCCACAGTACAAAGTGATCATATTGATCATAGTGATCATAGTGATCCACAATACAAAGTGATCATAGTGATCCACAGTACATAGTGATCCACAGTACATAGTGATCTACAGTACATAGTAATCAACAGTACATAGTGATCATAGTGATCCACAGTACATAGTGATCATAGTGATCCACAGTACATAGTGAACCATAGTATATAGTGATCATAGTGATTCATGGTACATACTGATCCACAGTACATAGTGCACCACAGTACATAGTGATCCACAGTACATAGTGATCATTGTGATTCACAGTACATAGTGATCCACAGTACATAGTGATCCACAGTACATAGTGATCCACAGTACATAGTGATCCACAGTACATAGTGATCATAGTGATCCTCAGTACATAGTGATCATTGTGATCCACAGTACATATTGATTCACAGTACATAGTGATCCACAGTTCATAGTGAACTACAGTACATAGTGATCCACAGTACATAGTGATCCACAGTACATAGTGATCATAGTGATCCACAGTACATAGTGATCATAGTGATCCACAGTACATAGTGATCATAGTGATCCACAGTACATAGTGATCAAAGTGATCCACAGTACATAGTGATCAACAGTACATAGTGATCCACAGTACATAGTGATCATAGTGATCCACAGTACATAGTGATCATAGTGATCCACAGTACATAGTGATCCTCAGTACATAGTGATCATAGTGATCCACAGTACATAGTGAACTACAGTACATAGTGATCATAGTGATCCACAGAACATAGTGATCCTAAGTACATAGTGATCCTCAGTACATAGTGATCATAGTGATCCTCAGTACATAATGATCATAGTGATCCACAGTACATATTGATTCACAGTACATAGTGATCATAGTGATCCACAGAACATAGTGATCCACAGTACATAGTGATCCTCAGTACATAGTGATCATAGTGATCCTCAGTACATAATGATCATAGTGATCCACAGTACATATTGATTCACAGTACATAATGATCATATTGATCCACAGAACATAGTGAACTACATAGTGATCCACAGTACATATTGATTCACAGTACATAATGATCATAGTGATCCACAGTACATATTGATTCACAGTACATAATGATCATAGTGATCCACAGTACATAGTGAACTACATAGTGATCCACAGTATTAGTTTACAGATGAACCAGTCTCCAGCACTGTTATAGATGTGAACTGACACGTTGTCAGATGGTTTTATACATAAGTTTCTTTTAATCATGACACTTTATATTCAATTCTACACAACAAAACCTAAATGTAGCTGAGTTCTTGTTTAAACTTGTTAGTACATTATCCAGAGTAGTTCTTCTTGTATTATAATGTGATTCCACTTGTTATGCACTTATCAGGAGATGAGTCCCAAGACCCAAGAGTGTTTGCCACAGAAATCAGCACCAGCAGAACGGTTCCAGAAACCACAGACATCAGCGAAATTACAGCTGAAGAATTACACAACAAATTGAATCTACAAAATACTTCCAGCAATGCCAAAACTGAGAATGTACAGTGGAGAGACACTGATACAGACATAGGAGTAATTAGTGAAGAGAGTCCAGTGCTGTCCAGACCACAGACAGCTGGTAGTGGACAGGGTCAGTCTCCGACAGCTGACAACAATGTCCAAACACAATCACGGCCACATACTGCTGGAAGTGATCAACTCCAGTCCAGACCTCAGACAGCCAGTAAGTCTGTACGCTTTGCTGAAGATCCCACCAAAGAAAAAAAGGGACAAAAATCAGGGAAAGACACATGTAAACCTAGTGACCTAAGTAACGGTGACAACAGGGATGATGACTCAGATGACCAAGGTCGTCCTAGTAGTAGGGATAAAGGTCAGAGATCAGGTCAGGGTGAAATCAGGTTAATTTCAGCTGGAAATGCAGGACGGAGTTCAGCAGAAAGTGACAAACGAACCTCTTCATCAAAGAGTGACAATCAAGGGAAACAACAAAGTTTGAAATGTTTGCAAAGCGATAGACTTGAAAATAAAGAGAAGACAACTGTTAAGCAAACAGTGTGTTTAAGATATGAGAGGAGTAAAGATTTCAAGAAACCCTCCACCCTTCAGATACAGGCGGTGGGACATGGAGGGCAAGTTCATACACTTATTTGTCCAGAGAGTCCCACTAGCAGAAGTAGGTCACCAAGTCCTCAAAGAAGGGGTCATAGGTCACCGAGTCCACAGAACAGAGGTCATAGGTCACCTAGTCCACAGCACATAGGTCCAGGGTTACCAACCAATCAGAAAAATACAAAGCAATCTAAACACAACAAGAGTAACCGACTTATAAGACCATCATCAGCCAATATGTCAGCAAGGCAACAGACGACATTCAGGGCACAAAAATCCAGTAATACGAAAGTTTGTTTTGAAGAGGACCGACCCCAACACAAATCTATATTTGTTGAAAATGAGGATGGCGATGAGTTGTATGTAGGGATCCGGGAAGACCAGGCTCTCACCTTTGAGGACATTGAGGCTGAGCTGAGGGCACTACAGGAGGACATTCAGGACAGACGTGTAGCTGAGGAACACAGGGATGTACTACAGGACGACAGCAGTGATGACAGCACTGTTGTGGAGGACAGGATCGACGAATCAGATCATTATTTACTAGGACTGAGCCAGTCAGAAGAGGATCTACTGGCTGATGTAAGGAGTGAGGATCCTGTGGATGACATCCAGCAGGATTGCTGGGGAGACTTGTCCGGTTTGTTAGCTATTTATAGGAGGAAGTGTATGGAGGTTAGTGAGAACTGTGGGGAAATCAGTGGCAAGCTGACCACTCCTCGTAAACCAAAGGTCAAACGACGACCTTACAGTGCCGGCAGTACCTCCTTATATCGCAAAGATAGTTGTCAGTCTGTGTACACAGTGGACAGTGGTAAGGGGGAGAGCTCAGGGGTGGTCACAACAGACGGAAGTGTCGTTGGTCTGTCTCACGCTACTTCTAATCTCACTCTGGACAGTGGACTCAGTTTAGCTGATAGTGATGCAAGGTCAAGGGTCAATGACCAGTCCAAGCTGGACAGTATAACACTGGTGCAGGACTCTCGTGAAACGGACGGTGAAGCAGTGTCCAGGGGAGGAGATTCCTGTGTGACAGGAGGAACTGTGCCTCCACTGGAGCTCCACACCAAACAACAGGTGGAGCCACTGGAGCTCCCCACCAAACAACAGGTGGAGCCACTGGAGCTCCCCACCAAACAACAGGTGGAGCCACTGGAGCTCCACACCAACCAACAGGTGGAGCCACTGGAGCTCCACACCAACCAACAGGTGGAGCCACTGGAGCTCCACACCAAACAACAGGTGGAGCCACTGGAACTCCTCACCAAACAACAGGTGGAGCCACTGGAACTCCACACCAAACAAGCACCACAGGTGGAGCCACTGGAAGCTGAGCTTGTGGTAGAGGATGTTGATGAAGACCGAACAATAGTGGACACCAAGGCACTGCTGGAGATAGTGTGTGAGGAACTAACCACTCATCAAAAGAAACTAGTATGTGGAATACATTTATTGTTAGACATGACAAACGTTCATTTTCTGGTACACACTAATACACGACTGGTTGTTTTGTTACACTGTAATAGAATATCCACTGAATTCCATTGGTTATCAGCTATATGAAGGGTCTATACTGTGATCCCACACAGTAAATATAAACACACAGACTGTAAATATAAAATCAAACGCTATAAGTAATAACACTCAGTGATTGAGGGTGTCACTTTCCAAGTTTGCCTGTCACATAATTAACTTCGGATAAATAATGGTTTTCTTTGATTATATAAGTTTAAATTATTAAAAAATTGTTATACAAATGTATTTTTTACGCTGTGACTGGGTAAACAAGGACATCTCTCTAGATTTTCTTATTTTTTTAATTACTCTTATTTTTTGCCTTTTATGTGATTTATTTACTTTTAAATGTTGATAGCTTTATCTGGACCGTATGTCACATGTAAACCTTCCTAAAATCCTTTAAAATATCAATAAATCTTCAGTTTTGGCTCTAACAAAGTAATTAGAGGCTTCAGAATAACACAAATGATTCATTACTATGTTATATGCTATATAATTTATGTTTTAAATGTCTCACGAATTTCTCACGAATTCAGAGATAAAATCTCACTATTTTTGACCAAATCTCACTAAAAATAATCACTGATCTCACTATTTTGCACTGGAAAGTTATGGCATGTATGGCTGTCACTGTGACATGGCTCATCTGAAGTTTTTGAATTATAAATCCCCCTCAACTAGACAGGTGATGTAATAAGGTCATATTATATGATTGTTTGTTTTTTTAGCAGCAGGATGCAGAAATGCCACTAATACCTAAAGTGTAAGTGTTTAATATGCTCAGCTTAAATCAAGTGTTAAGTATTAGCCCACAGATCTTTATGTTCAGTGTAATAATGTTTAGAATTCAATATGCAGTATGCTTAACATGTGTTTATTTGTGATGTTCAATTTGTAAGTTATTATAGGTATATAAATTTGAGGAGTGTGATAAGCCGCTTGTATTGGCCATGTTTTGCCGTTGAGCATGGTCCATAAATCAAGATGAAGGGGTTCATAGACTCTTGCACATCTATGACCAAGTATTAAACAAAGCGTAGCTGAATTGAGTCATTTTGGTATATATAATTACCAATTATTGAGTGTACGTTTACAGTGTAGCCGAATTGACATCGATTTTGTGGACAACTCGTACACATTTTACACCTTTGTGTACACACGCTTCACTGGTTATTTGTGTGATGAAAGTGACAGTGTACATACCGTACTAGTCATCGATATGTCACATGGAAAATCTTATTGGTTGTGTAAACAGAACTTTTCATAAAAAAAATATAAATGAAGGATGCTTCCATGTGGGCCAAATAGATGAAAGATAGCTGAATCTGTCAAAGACTACTCAATGATTACAAATGAAGGGTTTTGACCTAATAAGGCATGGCCAAGAGAATTCAGCTTTGTTTAGCTGAAGGGTTTAGCTTTCCTTGAGAGCAGACGGAAATGGAACATATCAGTTTAACTTCCTCTCTATGTTGATTTAAAATCCCAAGATGTCTGCAGTGCACTGCATTCTTACTTCTTCTTAATTTCCATCAGGCTGATTTTTCAAAACTTCATACAAGCGGTCCTCTCATGGTCCTGCTGTAATTCTTTTAACCAATCTAAATTCAAAAACTGCCACCAGTTCTCTGCAGGCTGAGACATTTTGAACTTCTCAACACCCACTAGGCCAATGGTAACAAAGCTTGATCTGAATAATGTTGGTTCTGGTTCTTAATAAGTACTGCTATTTCTTAGTTAATATGAAGTTCAAATGTTGTAATGTTGTAATATAATTAGATATAGCAATGAAACTGGGGACAATACAGGCCCAACAGACCACTTGTTTGGAATAATGTAACATTTACAAGTAAATACTGTACATTTCAGGGAGCCTGTACCTCCAAAGGAAGATCTCGAGATTGTAGCTGAGGTGAAGACTTTAAACAAACAGAAGTAAGTTATTATTTTGTTAATCAGACCGAGGCCATGTTAATCACTACAACACCTACACCCTCTAAACCACTACATCAGCTACACTCTCTAAACCACTACTACATCTACACCCTCTAAACCACTACTACAGCTATACCCTCTAAACCACTACAACAGCTATACCCTCTAAACCACTACTACAGCTATACCCTCTAAACTGCTACTACAGCTACACCCTCTAAACCACTACAACAGCTACACCCTCTAAACCACTACTACAGCTACACCCTCTAAACCACTACTGCAGCTATACCCTCTAAACTGCTACTACAGCTACACCCTCTAAACCACTACAACAGCTACACCCTCTAAACCACTACTACAGCTACACCCTCTAAACCACTACTGCAGCTACACCCTCTAAACCACTACAACAGCTACACCCTCTAAACCACTACTACAGCTACACCCTCTAAACCACTACAACAGCTACACCCTCTAAACCACTACTACAGCTACACCCTCTAAACCACTACTACAGCTACACCCTCTAAACCACTACTACAGCTACACCCTCTAAACCACTACTACAGCTACACCCTCTAAACCACTACTACAGCTACACCCTCTAAACCACTACTACAGCTACACCCTCTAAACCACTACTACAGCTACACCCTCTAAACCACTACTACAGCTACACCCTCTAAACCACTACTACAGCTACACCCTCTAAACCACTACAACAGCTATACCCTCTAAACCACTACTACAGCCACACCCTCTAAACCACTACTACATCTACACCCTCTAAACCACTACAAAAGCTACACACTCTAAACCACTACTACAGCTACACCCTCTAAACCACTACTACACCTACACCCTCTAAACCACTACAACAGCTATACCCTCTAAACCACTACTACAGCCACACCCTCTAAACCACTACTACATCTACACCCTCTAAACCACTACTACAGCTATACCCTCTAAACCACTACTACAGCTACACCCTCTAAACCACTACTACACCTACACCCTCTAAACCACTACTACACCTACACCTCCTAAACTCTGTCTTCATATGACCCTGATTGTTGTGAGAATGTTTAAACCTGATCAAAAAAAAGTCTACGCCACTACATCATGAGCTATTCCTTCTAAACCTCTACACCCTGTATATATAGAAAGAAGAAGGCACCACGAAGCGGCCCTATTGCCCCGTTTGCTCCAGTTTGTTTTGAGATCAATGCCAGACCACCAAAGGGATACCTGTATTACTTTGCCTATGGTACAGAGATGAGCATATCAAGGTAAGGTTTGTTGTCTAAATATCTTAATCATCATAAAATATTGAAGGCAAAATTATTTTTTTGCCATATATTTCCTTATACTAGCTATATACAAACAGCAATTCCAAGAATATTTATCATCTAAAATACTAATTTGTTTTTGTGATGATGTTACATTGCTTGAAGTCCATAGCTTGACGTGCTGTATAACCTTGACTTGCTGTATAAACTTGATGTGCTGTATAACCTTGACTTGCTGTCATTATAACCTTGACGTGCTGTATAACCTTGATGTGCTGTATAACCTTGACTTGCTGTATAACCTTGACTTGCTGTATAACCTTAACTTGCTGTCACTATAACCTTGACGTGCTGTATAACCTTGACTTGCTGTATAACCTTGACGTGATGTATAACCTTGACTTGCTGTCACTATAACCTTGACTTGCTGAATAACCTTGACTTGCTGTATAACCTTGACTTGCTGTATCACCTTGTTTTTGCTATAATTCATTGCAGTGTTATAAATCCTTGTGTTGTAATTATGACTCCTTTTCCCACTCCCTTGCTACAAGTCACAAGTCCTTGTCTCACTTTAATTCTTGCTTTTGACATTTGTCATTACCTTCTATAGGTCATTGTTTTACTAGAAGGCTTCGGCTGACTATTGTCTTGTTATTTGATTGCTGTATGCCTCTGCTGTGTTACAGGCTTACCACCTACATTAGGAGGGAGCCACAGTGTTACTATTTCATTGTCTTGTTATTTGATTGCTGTATGCCTCTGCTGTGTTACAGGCTTACCACCTACATTAGGAGGGAGCCACAGCGTTACTATTTCATTGTCTTGTTATTTGATTGCTGTATGCCTCTGCTGTGTTACAGGCTTACCACCTACATTAGGAGGGAGCCACAGCGTTACTATTTCATTGTCTTGTTATTTGATTGCTGTATGCCTCTGCTGTGTTACAGGCTTACCACCTACATTAGGAGGGAGCCACAGCGTTACTATTTCATTGTCTTGTTATTTGATTGCTGTATGACTCTGCTGTGTTACAGGCTTACCACCTACATTAGGAGGGAGCCACAGCGTTACTATTTCATTGTCTTGTTATTTGATTGCTGTATGACTCTGCTGTGTTACAGGCTTACCACCTACATTAGGAGGGAGCCACAGCGTTACTATTTCATTGTCTTGTTATTTGATTGCTGTATGACTCTGCTGTGTTACAGGCTTACCACCTATATTAGGAGGGAGCCACAGCGTTACTATTTCATTGTCTTGTTATTTGATTGCTGTATGACTCTGCTGTGTTACAGGCTTACCACCTACATTAGGAGGGAGCCACAGCGTTACTATTTCATTGTCTTGTTATTTGATTGCTGTATGACTCTGCTGTGTTACAGGCTTACCACCTATATTAAGAGGGAGCCACAGCGTTACTGGGGACTCCTGTTCGGTTTCCAGCTGGTATTCAATAAGAAAGGTAAACTAACAATTGCAATACCACGTCTGGATAACAGGCTCAAGTTTGTAACAAAGTAATTAATATAGTTAATGAGATACATAGGGTAAAAGTCAAACTTAAAAGTCTGTAGCTATTTCTGTAATCTGTGCTGACATTGACATTATATCAGTTGACCTAGACCCAGTATTAATCTGTCCTGACCTTGTAGTCTATGACCTTGTACTTACAGGTGCTGACTTAGAGGCGGGAGGCTTTGCCAACATAGAGTTTAATCCCTACAGCTCTGTGGAGGGGTGTGTCTACCCAATTACACAGCAGGAACTGCTTCTACTGGACAAGCATGTCGGCTATCCTGAGGTAACTATACATATTACATACAGGTAACTATACATACCAATTACATACAGGTAACATTACATCCAGATTACATACAGGTAACTATGCATACCAATTACATACAGGTAACTTTACATACATATTACGTACAGGTAACTATACATACAGATTACATACAGGTAACTATACATACCGATTACATACAGGTAACGTTACATACAGATTAAATACAGATAACTTTACATACAGGTAACTTTACCTACAGATAACTATACATACAGATTACCTACAGATAACTATACATACAGATTACATACAGGTAACTTAACATACAGATTACATACAGGTAACTATACATACAGATTACAGACAAGTAACTATACATACAGTTAGAATTACGCCCAAGTATCCACTTTTTGTGGCACGAACGCAGGACGCACGCTCCCCGAACGGAGACGAGCCGCTTTACGACCGCAGGACGAACCCGGTGCAAACGCAAGCCTACCGATAGTACCGGTGTTACCGATTGGGCCTAACGCTGCTAGTAAAGCCGATAAAGTGCTTAATTATACCTCGCCGCTATCGACTGATAAACTGATACCTGGCCGATAGCGGCGGATCGAACGAATGAACTATGCAGCCGCTTTCACGGGACGGAACTAGTAGTAATCGTCTGGATAACCGAACCACTCAAATACACCTGTACTTACCACCCACAAGATATATTTAAGTACGTAACTAAACTAATAAAGCCGTGTTATTTGAATAATGTCGGATCAGTCTAAAAATAACATTTCTCTTATTCTTATGATTAAAATGTTAGTCAATGATACGAATTCTACAACATATATTTGTTTGAATAGGCGGTAGTTTAATCTACGTTATAACTGAATGACCACAAATGTATAGGTATACCTAGACACTTACGACACGATTTAAATTCAAATACATGATTGCTAGCGAATTGTAACCATAATCACGGAATCACGTACTCCGTGCCAATATTCACGGAAGAATTGTCCTACCACATTTTTTATTTTTTTTAATATCGTAAATATGCCTGTTTGTTACATGAAATACCATAATATATTAGCAATGAATTAAGGCCAGATTTTGTAAGTGATAATCGTTCTGATGTGTATGTCCAACGGCATGTTACGAATTTCAATCGTTCAAAAAATGTCCCACCTGAGTGAACGCCATTTTGTAGGTCATGGAATTGACTGATCAACAAACCGTACTGATCCGGACCGAACATAGAAAATTGTATTCTTTGTTTAGAAGGTTACGGACCGCCTCATTTTTGTTAATAAGTCACTTCCATGATCTAGAAAATGGCGATCGCTCAGGTGGGAATCTTTTTGAACGATTCCAATTCGAGGACTGCTGGCGGAATTCAGCAGCTGTTGGTAATAATAAGAGCAGATTTGGATCAATAAATAATCCATGTATCGATGTATGTGAGGTATGTGTTGTGCCATAGTAGATTTTTGTTGTCAGCATCTCAATTAAATATCTCCGATACCAAACGGTTTCGGACAATTTTACGTTTTCATAAATATATTAATTAGTGTGCTCTGGTCACAAACCAGACGTCTATCTGTCAAACTGTCTTAGTCTGATGTCAGAGGCGGCAGAAACTCAGAACTAATAGCATGGTATACAGAACATTGATATTCATCTAAAAAGTTGGTTAAACAGACACAGATACATATAGTTTATAATTCATTAAACGTGGGATAACCCTGTTACCTGCGGCTATTGTTATTTTGAAGGTAAAGTTAAGTCACAGGGACCCGGCTACAGTTGGTTTGTTATGACCTATCCTGCTGTGTAAAGAGTAATTAATATCTCTCGAAATAAATGCCACCCTCCTTCCAGCAGCACCCGAGAACAGATTTAAGCGTCTCAAGTCGCAAGGACGTCTTTTGCCGGTGTATCTAATTTCTACCATCAAATCGTATAAATTAGATGTATCTCAACCATCACCCGGGAGAATGATTACTCTGACATATCAGAGTTAAGTCAAAACAAACATTATTGTAACTAACTCGCGGGTCAGTATAGTTTATAGTCTGTTTTTATACGTCTCTGATTGGTTTATGAGACTGAAGTACAATGTCTGCTTTACATATAGTTTTAATTTAATTCAAGTATTGGACAGGGAAAGTATAAAGACGACCACTTTGCACGGGTGTGTGTCGCTTCTGGTATATAATAATGAAAAAAGAAGATGAGTAACACGTACATACCCTTTTCATTATGCATCGGAAACGTATGGTTGGTTTTTCTATCTGTATGCGTTATGTATTTTTTTT